TTCTGTAATACCTTGTATTGGTACCAGGTCTTGCCTGGCACTGGGGAATAGACTATCCCTGATGAATGTTGTCCAAGTAAATCTCAGAAAACTGTTGATGAGATTCCACATCTGTCTGCAGCCTATTTTTATGTTTCATTACCATTAAACTGGATGTTCACCCTACATCCAGCCTATGTTTTCACTGCAGCAAATCAGGCCATTCCCAGGACAGTCGTGGAGATTTCCATCCTCGTAACAGCAGCTGTTTAAGCAGTTGGGCTGTTGTCCTGTCTCCCTTCAGATTCAGTTCTCATCATGAGGTTGCTGGTGCACCTGAGGTGAGGAAGTCCTTCCAAACACACTGGGCAGCAGTGACATGAACATTTTACAGTTTCTCTTTCTGCCCTCTTTGCTCTTAAATGGCCAACAGCTGTGGCTGTGTGATTAAGTAGTTTTATCCCTCCTTAAATCATGGAGATCCTGAAACGTATAGGAACTCTATGAATACATTTTGTCATATATACCATAAAGCAGCAAGGTTCTCTTAGCCCCTTCAGCTTGCTGAGAAACATATCATGAAACCCACATGTACTTTGTCTATTTTTCTGTATGAAAAGGAAGCTGATACCCAAAAGAAGTGTCCATCTCAGGAAGCACCACGCAAAACAAACTAACTGGGAAACTAACTCAGCCCTAGCTTTATTTATCACCTCCTTCTCCACAAACACATACTTGCTACTTCCTAGAAACCTGGATTAAAATTAGTATTGGAACTTGATTGCACTTTTAAAGATGAACCCATGTATTATCCCATCCTCTCCGCCAAAAAGGTTCTTTCAATACTCCCACAGCATCACAGATACAGATAATCCAGCTCTACAGCTTACTCACCATATCTACAGCAACCACTGCCCCAAAAGCTAATCCTCACTACCAGCTTTGTCCGCATTATGACTTGACCACTTCATTCTAAATTATTTACTTTGATTCCTTTTGACCCTAAACAATGGCTGTGTAAATCGCGAAAGAAGAGGCCAGAGGATGGAGAAAAGGAGACAGAGGGAAAGCACACAGGTCATTTGTCTCTAGCAAGCTTTGACTGTTGGAAAACCTCTAGCTGCCATTTGCTAATCTCTCCTCCTTCCGGTTACCAGCTGCCTGGGACAATTGTGGCAGAGTGACTTCTCAGAACCCTTAATCCCACATCTGTGTCAACTAGCCAGGCAGAGACTGAATGGCCAGAGAGTGCAAACTCTCCTTTCAGAACACGTCAGGCTTAAGGCACATTTGCCAGTACCACAGGAGAGAAAATTCTCCCGTTATTGTTTGTATGCTACTTTTTCTGGAAAAAGGTTTTGCCCCACAAGGGCTATTGTTCTGGCATATTACACGTAGACCAGCCTCAAGCACTTGCATATATTTTAAATGATGTTGTCTATACTGTTTAGTTTTGGGTTTAACCCAAAGATTTAGTTTTGGGTTTAACCCAAAGATTTTTGGCAGCTTGTTAAATCCTAACAGGTTAGGAAGGCCAGTAACAACCTTACACTGAGAACACCTCTTCCAAGTGTCCCTAGCATGAGCGGGAAAGGGAAGGCTTCCACCACAGGTCCTCTTGTGGGAGGGACTGAAAAATAGAAGGGACAGCTGAAAGACTTCTACCTGCCACCCAGGGGCTATGAGCAGTGACAGCCAGGTAAATGGACATTTCCTCACATAGCACCCAAACTCTGGGTGGGAAATGGGAGAACCAGTTTCTCATCACTTGGATGAGTGGAACATGTTTCGCAACAGGCTCATTTTACGCTGCCGAGAAATTTTCGCCTCCGAGAAGCGCTATGACTGCAGTCCTTGGGACACAGGTTCGTTTCTCCAGTACACCAGCATAAAACTAGGGGACGCTTATTTTGTCAGGAGCTCGTTACCACACAAAGGCACATGTTCCAGTGCAACCACAAGTGGTGGCAACCAGTTCCAGTGCTGGGATCAGGCTGTAGATATTGGATTTCAAAGGCAGCTGATCTTTTTAGTTTGCATAAACTGTCTCAAGCTGTTATTCTCCCCTCACACGCACTGCTTCTGAAGAAAGGGCAGTGATACAAAGGTCCAGCTTGTCCTGATTTGGGACCAGCTCTAACAAGAAACTTGAAAGCCTACTCAGCCTGAACCTCCTATTCCTAAAAGTGCTGAGCTCAGAACTTTTTTTCCTTACAGCTTGTCACAGCACCAAGCAAGCAGGAGTGAGAAATGGCAACAGCCAAGTGACCCACATTCTGCCCAACCTAGGGTTAAAAAAACCCCCTGCTTCTTCCCAAACTCCTGTCCGTACACCAGCACCACCAATATTATTTTCACTGGCAAAACTGGAATCTTTGTCCTTGCTCTACAAGGGCCTAAAGGTCAGTCTAACTCTAAAATAAAGATATTTTAGAAAACTGGAAAGTTCCCCTTCATCTTGGAAATTAAATACTCCAGGTAAAGAAATCTAATCACCTCCTTGCTAAGGAAGGATCTCCCCTGTAGCCTAATCTAGTTTTAAATGGGCTAGGGCAAAACAGGAAAATCAGGAATGATTACTTCAGGAACTGCATCCTTTATAATTAAAGGAAAGCCTACACAGTTGGGAAGTACCAGTGTGAAGTTTCTTTCAAAGCTCTGTTCCTTGGATCCTTGATACATTAAATTAAAAAAAAAAAAATCTTATTATTTAATGCCATTAAGCAAAATAGGGCAAATTTTTGTTTGACAAAAACTACGTGGCTACGTTTCGAAAAACAAATTTGGGAGCTGCTTTGAAGTGGAATTTCTGGCTGCTGCAGTCTGGGGAATGAACAAAAAGAAACAGAGCCAAAGCTTTGATTGTGTTCTCCACATAAAAGCTCTTACTTGCAAAAACTGCATTTCCAAAACCAGAATTAGGAGAAGGTAATATCCAGGTTTGAAGGATGTGTTAAGGAGGATTTCCTATCCTTATTTACCAAATAAATTAGAAAGCATGGATCACCAACACAAATATGCAAGCAAGCGAAAGAAACCTTAATTTCTCCAAGCATCTTACTAGACTGTCTCCTCAGTTTGACTCCAGAGGTGTAACGGAAAGAATGAAATCAGCAAAAAGCAAGAACACCACAACTCTCCTATTTCTCTCATCATTTGGTAGAATGGGTAAGGCTGGCGCAGTAGGGAAAAA